ATGAATAGAATGATTTGTTCTCATGGTGTTTGTAAATAGGATCTCAAGTCCGCATCTTGTACAGCAATTAACCACTAAGAAGAATATATGCAGTGTGTTAGTTATTGAAACTGTACTACCGATTTGATTTGAAACTGTCTTATTGTTATCTGTTTATCAGTAAAATTTTGAAAAAAAAAAGAATTAATTTCACTGTAAGTGCTCCATTCTTTTTGACTTTCAGAATTAGAGACATCTTCTACTGCTACATTCCTCATAGCCCTGCTTCTCAGCACCAAGGTGCTACTGGTGATCATTGTCTCTGCTATCTACATCAACATTTACAAGAAACAGAAGGCCTAATTGTAAGTTTATGGGGGAGAAGGCAGGACAATGACTCACATAAGTGGGCAGAGTAAGGGGCCCATATCACCTGTCACGCAGAATCAGGGTCAAGGGAGTTTAAAGCAAAATACACTTAGCATCATGGGCTTCTCATAGACCTTTCTGAGAAGTGCCCAGCTCCTGTGAACTATGAAAAGTATAGGGAAAAGGTTACAAATGTAGTGGACAGTGTCTAAAAGACTCCATTGAGTAGGTGGAGTGAGGAACAACAAAGTAGATGGTTCCCTTGTAGGTCATCTCTATATAAAAATCTTCTCCAAAGGAAGCTCTATACTTAGGGTTCAGAGAAGGGTTTTCAGAACTCAGTGTGGAGGCTGATGTGAGAATTCTTCCTCAGATGCTTCCTATCTACTCAGAACAGCTGTCTCATGAGAAGAGGAGCACATGTGATACAAGAACAGGAAGAGATATTTCTTAAACAAGGAGAAGATAACCAAATTAGACATGTTTCCCCACTACCTCAACTTCCTGCCCTACTACACTGAACACCCAGTCTCTGCTACTTCCTTCCTGCTCTGAGAGGATAGACCTGGAAGAAAATGTGTTAAGAAGCTTCTTTACAGTGAAAGATTTATACTGTAAAAATTATACTACTCTGAAAAAAGAGATCGAAGAGGATCTCAGAAAATGGAAAGATATTCCTTGCTCCTGGATAGGAAGAACAAATATAGTGAGAATGATCATACTCCCAAAATTATTACATAGGTTTAATGTACTTCTGATTAAAATACCATTAGTATACTTGACAGATATAGAGAAAAGATTCCTAAAATTCTCTTCTGGAACCAGAAGAGACCTAGAATAACAAAAGCAATCCTAGGTAACAAAACAAAACAAAACAAAAAAAGGAAGGAGGCATCACAATTCCAGACATGAAAATATACTACAAAACTATGATAAAATCAGCATGGTAATGGCAAATAAAACAAACCTGAGGATCAATTAGATAGATTATAAGAGGTAGGTACAACTACAAGCACATTCAGCCATCTTGTTTTTGACAAAGGGCCAAACATATTCATTGGAAGTAAAATAGCCTCTTTAATAAATGGTTCTAGAAATACTGGCTTTCCACATGCTGAAGTCTAAAATTAGACCTATGTTTATCACCATGCACAAAACTACAATGAAAATGCATCAAAGATTTAAGTATTGAAACTGAAACACTAAATCTTCTGAAAGACAAAGTAGGTAGAAACCTTAAGGACACAGGGGTAGGTACATGAACAAAAATCAAACTGCACAGGAAATACTTCAATCAATCAACAACTAAAATCTCATCAAAGTATTTACATGTCAAAAGAAATCAGCAAAAGAGTAAAGCCAAAACCCACAAGTTGAGAAAAAATCATAGCTGACTGTCTTTCAGACAAAGAACTCCTATCTAGAACATATAAAGTATTTTTTTAAAAATCAGGCCTTCAAAATTCAAAGACCCAATCCAAAAATGGGCATCTGAGATGAAAACACACTTCAAAAATAAAAAGATATAAATGGAAAATAAATATATGAAACATTTCATATATTGGTCATTCAAGAGATGCAAATTAAAACAATGCTGAGATACCATCTTATGCCAGGAAGAATGGCTATCATCAAGAAGGCAACTAATAACAAATGCTGGAGAGGCTATGGGGGAAAATGAACTCCTCTCCATTCTTGGTGGGAGTGCAGGCTGGTACAACAATTATGGAAATCAGTATGGAGATTCCTCAGACACCTAGGACTAGAGGTCACATTCAAGTGAGCTATTCCCCTCCTAGGCATTTTTCAAAGAAGTGAAATCATCATACCAGAGCAAAATATGTGCACCCATGTTTGTAGCAGCACAATTTGTCATAACTAAATGTTGGAAACAACCCAAATGCCCATCACCTGAGGAATGGATAAAAAAGATATGATGTTTTTACACAACGAAGTATTATTCAGCTATAAAAAAGATAAACTTAAGGCTTTTGTAGATAAATGCATGCAGCTAGAGACTATATTGGTAAGTGAAATAAATCAGATCTACATGTGCAAATGTCATATAATCTCACTAGTGTGAGAATTTGAAAGAGTAATTAAAGTCTAAAAGGTACAACAGATACTGTGAAAGGCAAAGAATTTGTTCAGTGGGTAAAATGAGATGAGGAAAATGAAGGTAAAGAGATCTATTTAGGTATACATGCAGAATAATTTGGATAATTGTACTGCTAAATTCTGCTGGTCTTTTGAAAGAAGTATTTAATGCTTAAAATGTTTTCTTTTAATTTTTTTCTTTTGAATTTCTTACCACTTTTTTGTTATTGTTTTATTATGTTTTTATTGAAACTAATGTCATACATTTATATCTGGTACCTGATCAACTAATTTGAAGATAGCATAATGTAATACAACAACCTCCTATTTTTGTTTAGTGAAATTTTGTATTGTTTCTATTGCTGTTTTTTTTCCTATTACTATTTGTATTCTTTCAAAAAATCTTAATTTTTACTATTTTTTATTTTTATTCACATTCTTTATGGATTTAAAGTTTAGCATATAAATGATTCATGAAAAATACTTGTTCTATGTTATGTCTAAGGCATTTGCTATTCAGATACTAATCTTAAGCTCAACAGCCTATGTTCTAGGTAATTATATCATTAAGCTTCTCTTCTGCAGGGTTAATAACTTAAGTTTATAGACCAAAAGTTAGAGAAAAGGAAGGGCTACAAGGATAGCCAACATTTTGGCCATAGCCCTTCAAGGTCAGAACTCAGGACATAAGATAGCCTGCACTATAACATCCTGTAACTCAGTGGTGTTCCAAATTTTCTTTTCCTTTTTTTTTTTCTTTTGCAGAACGGGGGATTACACAAGCCCTTGCACTTGCAAGGCAAGTGCTTATTCTACTGAGCTATCTCCCTGGCCCCATCCAAATTTTCTGATCAAGGAGATTATAAGGCCACTGAGGAAAGTGATTGACAATGTAGAGTGTGCCTAAGGAGAATCACCTAGGGGGAAAACATTCTTTCAGGCTTTCACAGAAAGCAAATTGGTCAAGCAATAACTGTGACTCATCCACATGGCTGACATTGACAAAAGATCTACAGACTGATGCACAGAGCTTCAGGGTAAATCTTGAGGGGATTTGACTGACTTTTTCAGGTACAAAAGTTACATTTTTTGTTATATAGGTCTTGCCTTATCTTGATCTTAACCATCTGGCAGAAAAGTATAAAAATGAGGTATAAAAAGTAAAGCCATATTAATATGCTGAACTGTAAAAGGCTCAAGGCAACTTCTGACATTGCCAGTCATGTGGATAACCCACTACTGTTATAGACTACTGGACTATATTGGATTACTTTGTGCAAATCATGCACCTGCAACATATAAATGGCACTGGAATACCCATCTCTGACAAAAAGGAAACAAAAAAGGGGGAGATAAATGAAGGACCATTTTGTAACATACATATATGCATAGATATACAGCTACTTTCTCTTAGTTCAATAAGAAGAAAATTTGAACTAATAGTATTTAGATAATATATCATGTCTGTATCTTGTACTATGAATAACTCCTACAAAGACAACCATAGGCAATCTATTAATTATTGTAACCATCCTACTAACCTGTTTTGAAATTGTCTCATTGCTACTTCTTTCTCAATAAAATTAATATTAAAAAATATTCTGCCACTGAAAAAATTGTTACTTGATTTAGGATAGAATTAGGGAGAAAAATTTATACTTCGTAGCTTCTTTTCCTTGTCTAACTACAAAATATATACACACCCTAAGTTCATAACTTTTCAGCTATAACTCCTTTGAAATTATAAATAATCAAAAATCTCAAAACAAACTCATTGGTGCTTTACTGATATTAATATATTATAATGGATATAGTTTATAACTTTTTATACATTATTGTTTGCACAATATAATACTTATGTCTAAAAGACTGCATGTTTTGTCTTAAGTACTGAGAGTATACCATTTTAGAGTCATTTAAAATTCTATGTAAAAGCCCTAAAGATAATGACTTATAATGACTTAGTAATGTAAATCTAGTTAAAAACCAAATTCCTTTTAGTGATTTCTGACTTCTTATCTGTAAATCTAGTATGGAAAAAAGCTCTGAAAATTGAAAATGAAAGGGTATTTGTCTAAAAAGTAAATAAATAAAAAGAAGCTTCCTTAGAGTTATTACAAACATCTCTCCAACCCAGACACCTGTGGCCCACAAACCCCTGTTGCTCCTTTGCACAGTCAGTGAGGTCCCAGAGCTCAGTCTGCATCCATGATCTTGAGCAGTGATTATGTGAGTTGGCTTTGGGTTCTAACTCAGTCTATTTCCCTATAATTTGTGCAGTAAGCCAATCTGAACAATTATAGATTATGTCTAGATCATACCTCCTTCTACAATTTCATATGTTTAAAAATGGTATTTTGGAAAGTGCATCATGGGGGCATGAAAATTATGAGTGGATTAACTCACTAATGAAATCATGACTGAATGTGCTAAAAGGCAAAAACTTTTCAGTGGTGGGTCATTAGAGTAATGAACCGGGAAGGTTGTAGTTTTGTCCCCAGGTCCCCTCTCTTTCTTTATTTTTTGGACACCATGATGTCAGCAGCTTTCCTCTAATGGGCCCTTCCACCATGATTTTTCTGTCTTGGAGTCAGCCAATAGTGAACAAAACTGTAAACTAAAGCAAATATCTTTGTAAGTGTTGGTTATTTTGTTTCAGGAACAGCAAAGTTACTAATACAGGAAGTTAAGACCAGTTTTGAATTTTGCTATAATTCATGTGGCTTATAAGGCTCTGGAAATGGTTTGCTGAAGCAGTTTGTAAAATTTTATTTAGTGTGTGTGTGTGTGTGTGTGTGTGTGTG